CTCGAACTTTTGACATAGTTGTCAAAAGACATACGGTCTCACCAGCTGCAGTTTTCACGCTGCTTCCCAATCCAATCTTACTTTTAATTAAAACATCAGGTTTTGAAAAGTGATAGTCTGGAAAATTTTATAACTCTGATGTGTAGCATTTGACTGTTTTGAAGCAAGTACAATCTCGCATCTCTCTAGAAGAAACAAACGTTGGATGTTTCGCTAGTAATGGAGCGTGATTACGTATGGTGTGCTTACTTTACTAACCATACGGCTTTGAAAAACGCTCAGCAAATAAATAAAAAAAGGATTCTGTCCTGAAAGTTTTATTATGAACTGATATTCTACTACTCTTCTTTTAGTATTCGGCACCTCTCATCCAGACTTTAGCAATAGAAAACCTTTTTTTGGATAAAAATACTCAAAAACGACAAAAAACTAGTAATCCTTTCCTCGAGGAAGTTAAACGCCTCGCTCAAAATTTCTCTCACCATTAAACTGGCCATCTTTGCTAGAACTTGTTGAGCACTGATCGAATCTTGAAAACTCTTCTTCGCTCGTCTTCCGATGTTCACTTGGTTACGCAATTGATGTACAACTTCGGGCAATCGTCGTACTGACAAACACACATACAGATATACAGTCATTTTTTTTATCTACAGTTAAGGGAGTTTCTACGTTTTCCTATTTCACATGCTACGGTTGGGCAAGCTTAAAGTAAGTACTCTAGATATTAGGCTTTCGCACAGAAAATATGCGTCAGTCATGTGTCTGAATTGCCGTAAAGCAATGTTGCATTCGTGTTGAACAAAAAGTAAACACTAAAAACAGAAATGTCCACAAAAGAAAGATGAACTTACAAAAAAAAGATGAGCTTATAAAAAAAAAACGTAACAGACTAGATTCTTATTGAAAGTTTCTTCTTGGCATTAACAGTTGACTTGCGATCGCTACAATAGTTATCAAATACCTTCTCCACGTGCTTGTCTAATTAATGCCAGAGCACTTTCAAGAGCAAGCCAATCTTCTTTTGAACCACCTTTATCTGGATGATGTTTCAGTGCGAGACGATGATAAGCAGAATTAATTTCACCATTTGAACAAGAATGTGTAAGACCAAGTGTTTTGTAAGCATTTTCCAATGCAAC